GGGGGGGGGGGGGACAAAGGAGGCCAGTAGGAATGTAGGAGTAGATTCATTACTGTAGATCCATTACTGTAGATCCATTTGTGTAATACCGAGAGCTTTCATGTGTACCATGTCACTAGATTTCCAATACTCTGGGTAAAGGACAGACAGGCTTTTTTTCCAAAAATTATTTGTATTACAAAATTAATACATGTTTGTTTTAAAAACATTTAAATAAGAGAAGGTATGAAGTAAAAAGCAGCCCTGGCCCGGCCAGCATGGTTCAGCGGTTGAGCGTCGAGCTATGAGCGAGGAGATCGCAGTTCGATTCCCGGTCAGGGGCCATGCAGGAGGCAGCCGATCAATGACTCTCTCATCATTGATGTTTCTATCTCTCCCTCTCCCTTCCTCTCTCTGAAATCAATAAAAATATATTTTAAAAAAATTTTTTTTAAAAGCACCCCCAAATATTTCTTCCCTTACTCTCAGTCCCCAGGGAGTTATGTCATTAACAGTTTATTGTGTATCCCTTTTCAGGGCATTAATATTTGGGGCAATAGTTATTAAAGGGGGGGTTGCTGTGCACACGGTTTGGTAACTTCTGTGTTTACCCTCAGTTGCATGCACCATGCGGGCACATCTTCCTCTGTGCAAACAGCGCAGGCTCACTGCTTTTGGTAAATACTCAGGACTCCAGCATATGAATGACTTACATGTGTTTTATTTATAGTTACCACTGAATTTATGCAGCCTCCTACTGATGGGTTTTTGGCTTATTTCTAAAATTTTACTCTTATATTTAAATCTACAGAGATATTTAGGGCTGGTATTATTTTTCTTACATATTTTTAAAGACTATTTTTTAGAGCAGTTTGAGGTTCACAGCAAAATGGAGAGGAAGGTATAGCCTCCCCATAATCAACGACCCCCACAGAGAAGGACATTTGTCTCCACTGATGAACCTACATGTCACATCAGCAGCACCCAAAGTCCGCGCCTTAGTGAGGGCTCACTCCCGGTGAGGCACATCCTGGGGTTGGACAAATGGACAAGGACTGTACCCACCATTACAGCACTTCACTGCCAGAAGAAGCCTCTGTGATCTGCCTATATTTCTCTTGTTTTTAAAGATAGAAATAAGGCAAGATCTAGGAAGATCACAAGCAGGGCTACACAACTGGGAAGTGGCACAAACTCCCTCGGGCTCAGCTCTCCAGACTCCTCATGAAGGGTCCTTCCATTGAACCATGATGGAGGTGGGGCAGGAGACAG